ATGAGGAGAGTTTTTATAGTTTCGAAATTGGTTGAAAATCGTCGTTTAAAAATTTCCATATTTGTGTATGGTTGTTTTTGCAACCTGTTCAATTTAAGCTGTTTAGCATTTTGTTTTACTTCGTATTTGAAATTAAACTTTGAAATAGGTATATGTAAATATGAAAATGAAGTAAAGGCGAAAATGGAGACAATGAGAAATACATAAGAATTAGGTTAACAGAGTTGAAATTTTCCGATAGGAATCGAAATAAAATCAGCCATAAAGGTTACTGAAATTTATCGAATCATCGAAGTTTATAATTATCGAAATTTATCCATGCTTATTAAGTTATCGCAACGTATCGAATTATTCAAACTGATCAATGTTTACTGAGTTGTCGAAATTTATAGACACAGAAACTTACTTGTCCAAATTTACGGATAGTTATCGAGCTATAAAAACGTGTGGGATTAACGAAATTTGTCAAGTTAAAGAAATGTATCTTTTTATCGATATTTATTGAATTATCATTATTTTAGGCTTAACGAAACTTATCGAGGTGTAGTAATGTATGGAGTTCTTTCAACTTACAGAGTTACCGATAATTATTGATCTACTGAAATTGGTTGGTTCAACGAAGCGAAGTTTATGGAATTTTCAAAATATATCGATTTATCGAAATTTCAAGGTTATATAAGCTTATCGATTTATCACTGCTTATCGAGTTTAATCGTCTTAACAGAGTGTAACGAGTTATCAAAATGTTTAAATAGTTTTCGAAAAACGTGGAGATGTCAAAAGTATAAATTTATAAAGGTATCCAACGTTTTTACATTTTTGAGTTATCGAAATTTATCGAGCCATCGAATTTCACAGTTATCGAAATTAGTCGAGTTAACGAATTTTGTTGAGTTATCGAATTGTATTGTTCTTGAAATTCATCGAACTATCGATATGTATCAAATCATTGAAATTTATCGATAAACTTGAATGTATCGGGTCAATTCCAAGTCCTGCCGAAGTTTTCCAAAGACCTTCTCAGATAAAAAAAAAATTTAGTTACGTTTTAGCAGAAGATTTTCCGGTTAGTTAATTTGTACCGTATAAGTTTTGCTACGTGTTAAGTTAGAAAACCTCTCCAAGGCTTCTAAAACTAGAAAAACTGTCGAATTTCGACAGCAACTGGCACTCTAGTTATTATTATTATT